CTGGAAGGCAGGCATTTCCTGTGGCTTCTGCCTCTCATCTAGGGCAGTATTTTCAACCAAGATCTCTTAAATACAGCACCTCTCCTCACTGTCTTGCACATCTAATGATCACAAAGCACACGTGTGAAGCAAAGCAGCTCAGCTGCAGCGCTCAGCATTTCAGACCATGCTGGTCAGGACACGGGAACAGGCCTTGGACCTTGTCTCTGATTCCACGTGGACCTCACTCATCAGGACCCACGGAGAGGCCGAATGAAGGCGAATGAAACACAGGCACAGTGAAGAGAGCCAGTGCAGGCTCTGTGACAGCAGGTGTCCCCAGAGACTCCCGGGGAAATGAGGACACAGAATCCCAGGCCAATGCCAAGGCTGGCAAAACTGTTACGACCTTCCCTCACGTAGGCCGAGAGAAAGGGACGGGCAGCACAAACCTCCTAGGCCAGGGCATGTCGCCCACCTTTCCCAGATGTCCTGTGCATGGCCGATGACCCAGCCCCAGCACGGCACCCGGAGCTCTCAGCAGCCTCTGCCCATCTCAGCAGCCACACAGGAGTCTGTTCTCAGGTTTCATCTATGGACTTCCCAATGTTTAAATGCCTGGATGCTGTGTATTTCCACATCCACGGTCTTGGGTCTTGGCCGCCTTAGTCACAATAAGGAGGCAGAAGGAACCCAAGTGCACATTGATGAATAAAGAATAAATGAATAGAAAAATAAAATATATATATATGTGTGTGTGTGATGGAATATTATTTCTTAAAAAGGAAAAAATTTTGACACATGCTACAACATGAATGAATCTGGGGACATTATGCTAAGTAAATTAAGCCAGTCATAAAAAGCCAAATACTCCACGATTCCCACCCATGAGTACCCGGCAGATGCTTGAGGTGGGGAAGGGGCATGGCTTGTGTGAGGGGTGTAGAGTTTCGGCTTTACAGGATGAAAGCAGTCTTGCGGACGGACCTAGTGATGGTCACACACCAACGTGAACATACTTCTTGCCACCTCGTGCAGTAAACAAGTTATGATAGTGTTTTAAGTGATGTATATTTTATCACAATTTTTTTTTTTAAAGTTGGGAGGTTGGATCTTGACACTTTCAGTCCTGAGGGGCTACTGCCACGCCCCCTCCAGGGAAGGGAGCAACAGGTTCACACCCTGTGCCCCAGGGAACCTGGCTTTCCTACACAGCCACCTCCTCACAAGCTGCTCCACAGCTTAGCTCCTGGCTCAGGGCCCCTGCTGCCTAGAAGAAGGACTCCCTTTCCTAGTTGATGCAAAAATGTCCTTTGCTCCCTCAACCTTATTCCCAAGGGCTGCATCTACCTGGAGGGACACTGCCCCCTTTCCCACAGAGCTCCTGCAAGTTTGGGGCAGCCCGCAAGCCTGCTTCTCTGCCTGTGCAGCTGGTGTCTGCCCTGAGCTGGGACCCTGATGGCTTTTCTCTGCTGCATGTGCATGTGCAGTTGGTACTAAAGACTCTTGTGGGGGGGGGGGCAGAGAAGGATGGGGGAGAGCACGGCAGGGGTTAGGTAGAACTGACAGATAGAGAAGAGACACACCAGCGTGGACAGGCATCATTCTCTGTGCCTGAGAATGAGCCGCCCACAGATCACTGGGTTTTCATTTCAGAATGAGTCCCCTCCCTCCCTTGTCCCTCTATCAGGATTCTGATAGCGGAAGTGGGTTGGGAGGGCACCTACGTCCTCAGGAGCCTGTGATGGTGCCAATGGCTGTGGGACTCGGCTGCCACTCTATGCTCAGTGGTCACAACAAATACCAAATGGCTGTGGAGATGGAGACTGCAAATACATTTGTCACCCGCTCAGTCCCGTGAGGACAGCTGCTCCCACCTCTGTTTCTCAGCGTGGCAGCGAGCTCAGAGGTGCCACACCGCAGAGGCTGAGGCAGGCGAAGCATGCTTCCCCTTTGCCCACAGCCTCCATGGGACCCCTTCTTGTTACCTTCCTGGGCCTCCCTGGACACCTCAGCCCCACACTGACCCACCCTTGGCGGTTCCCCATTATCTGCGCGGGCTGTTCCCAGGCGATAATGCAGCTCAGGTCAGGTGGAGGGGGCTTTGTGGACCTGTCAAGGAGCAGAGGTTTCCTCGCTCCTCTTCCCTGCTATTTGCTCACCTGTCATTTCAGCTTTGTGACAAGGTGACATGAAAAAGGGGAAAGGGCACATTTTTGGCAGGAGAGGTAATTTATTGGAAGGCCACTGGCCATAAACATGCCCATTCTGCTTGTGATTGAGCCCTGGGCCTGCCACAAGGCTGATCCCCTGTTAATGCATAACCAGGTGAGCGTCACTCAGGGCAGGTGCGGGCTGCACCCCGGGCTTTTGCTTCTCACTCACCCTGACTAGGCCATGTCATCTCTGCTCTAGTACAAACTCGCTGCAAGATGAGAAGTGGGAAAGGAAGCCTGGGGGGGCCATCCCGCACTGCAGCCCTGCCTGCAGCCTGCCCTCAAAGCCCTGCTCAGCCAGGCCTTGGGCTCCAAGCATGGCATGCAGCCACCAGAGACAGAGCGTGACTCTGCGTCCTGCCTCTGAAGCTGGAGGAAGACAGGGCATCGGGGTCAGCTGTGATGGCTCCATGCAGCCAGAATGAAAGTGCAGTTTAAAGGTCAAGGGGTGACACCGATAGCTGAGCTCAGGCTCCTCGAAGCCCCTCCTCACACAACCCAAATACACCTCCCAGGGCGGGCGGGGCAGCCACGAAGCTGGGACCCCAGTGTGCCCTTGTGGAAGGGTTCTGTGAAAATGGGAAGGCAGCCTTTCCTTTCGAGGGCTGCTTTCTTCAGAGTGAGGAATGCGCAGAACGAGACAGACAGATGTCTGGAGGCTGAGCTCCATTCTTCCAGGGATGGAGGCAGCAAAGAGGAAAGGGAAGCGGATGCAAAGGGCTCCCCCCAATGCACCCCACCAGCTGCTGCTGCATCCTGGGAGAATCTGATCTGCACTCTTCTTCCCTCGTGCACATCTTTCCACACTGACCCGTCTTCCTCATCCTTTTCTTCCTCTCTCTTTTTTCCTTGGGATGTCATCTTCCTTTCAGGTTGTGCTGTCAGGGTCAGAACTAACTCCTGCCTCCCCAGACAAGCCCCAAAAGGCCAGGCTGGGCCAATCCAGTGAGAGACGGCCGAGGTGGAACTTTGAGATTAAAGTGCCAGACACAGCATCAGGACCAGCACCTGCTGTCCACTTCCTCCCCTTTGGCTCCAAACAATTAAGGGAAGAAAGAAAATCATTGCTTTTCTCATTAATCACCTTGTCTGCTGCTGCAAAGTGCTTTGAAGCAGAGTGAGATGGGAGGAGGCTATGAATAATAAAGACAAAATACTCAAAGTCCTGAGCATCTGGGTCAGAATGAAATCCTGGGGGGCAGTAAAGAAATGGGTCATTTTGGTGATGGCCATCAGTTAAAGTAACAAATTCCTCAATGGCACTGAACCCAGAGTGAACTTGGGATCTACAGGGAGTTTCCCTCCAGAAAAAAAATATGTTTTTCAAAATATAATACATACACATAAGCATGTGTATCACGGAATGATGAATTCCCAACTAATGAGCCTGCAAGCATCTCCTAATTAAAAATGGAGCGTGGCCAGCCGGCCCTTCTTCTGTCCCCCAGGATGGCCCTGTCTTGAGCATCACCAAAAACACAGGGAAGCCTTGCCTGTTTTCAGATTTGCTGCCAAGAGTCATGCAGTGTTCTCTGCTGAGCCTGGCTCCTCTCTCCCAGCATGATGCCCATGGCTCCTCCATCGCACTGCTGAGGAGTACCCCACAGCCTGTTTCCTCCCTCACTATCGATGGGCACATGGGTCACGATGAGCCAGTTACCCATGCATGTGCGCCCCCACAGTCGGCCCTCTGTGCTGGCAAGTTCTGCATCACTGGTTCAACCAGCCACAAATTGAAAATACTTTTAAAAAATTACAGCTATGATATAAAGTTTACAGGAACATATGCATTGGTTCTACACAAATCCTCCCTTGTTTTGTAGAAAGGACTTGAGATTCCTTGGATTTGGGGGGTTTGGGGATTTACAGGGGGCCTAGAGCCCATGTCCTGCAGATACAGGGGGGTGACCACCTGCTTAGTCTCCTTTTAACGAAGAGTGGGGAGGTCTCTATGCAACTTCATACTCACACCCGTCATAGAAAATCACAGTCCATGTTCTCTGGCCTGATGGCCACTGCCTGGGCAATGCCAGAAGGGCCAGCTGGACGCAGTGTGGCCGGGAAATGATGATATGCGAACTTGTGCTGGGACCAGGGCACAGCAGGACCAGGGCGCAGCTGGCTTGAGGATGGGCTCCTCCACAAGGTTCTTCTTGTCCCTGAGTTAGAAAGTCTGAAAGGGGAATGTTTGCAGGTATTGACTTTTCCTTAATGAAAGGGGGACAAATGCAGAGAGAGGAAGAGATAATGTGCTACTAAAATGCAAGCCAATAGCTCTTAAAAACATCGCAGCTCCCAGCACGTGGGTCATAAATGTGTTTCACTGGCAGGGACTTTGTGTACAGAAGCACGTGAAATGGAGTGGTGTAGGACGCTGCTCAGTGCTGGGCAAGGCTGAGTGGAGAAGGATGGGGTGCTGGGGGCACTGGGCTGGGGCTGTCTGAGCGCATGAGCAGAAAGTGCCAGCTAGTGGTGCTTTCAGCAAACGGGTAATGAGGTGGGATCACCACTGCCAGCCTCCGTCTCCCTGCGGGTGTTACTGGAGGTGACTGGAACTCATCCGCCCTCCAAGTCTCCATCCCAGCCTCCTCACCTCCCGGGCAGCAAGCAGAAGTACCTTCCCATTCAGCTTTTACTGCTCATTCCCTCTGCACAGCCCAAGTACTGCACATGGGGACCAAGAAATTCACCAACTCCCAAAGGGTGCATCCAGCCATGTCCAGGTTCAAGACCTCAATGTCCCATGAAGAATTCCATAAAGGCCCTCCCCATTTTTTGTTCAATGCAAAATGAGCAAGCATCCAGCAAGAAGGGTGCTTATTTTAATAAGTGACCAGGGGACAGTGGAAGAGAGAAAAAGAAGCATCTGACAGAGCTCCCCAGATGTCCAGCAGCCTGAAAATTGGTGTTAAGAAAAGTGAGTCTGGGGGCTGTAGCTCGGCCATCGAGCGCTTGCCCAGCAAGAATGCAGCCCTGGGTTGGATTGCCAGCGTGGACGAAGGAGGAGGAGAGTCAAGCTCTGGCTTCCCTGGAGACTTCGTCCTGAAGCCTTGTGACGAGGCCTGCAGGTGAAGTCAGATCAGCTGAGGCTGCTTCCGAAGCTTTTGCCTTCCTGAGCCTCACATCTAACTTAAACCCGTCCACGGAGCAGGCAGTAGACAGAACACCAAGAAAGCCCAACTAAGCTGCTCCCTTGGTTCACAGAAGCTGCCTTGAGACCAGGAAGGGCTCTGATTTGTGTCTGGGCTGAGGTAAGGCAGCCACATTTCAGGGTCACCCTTCGCCCTCTCTTCTGCAGGTCCGCACACTAGGACTGATGAGTTGTGGTAGAGATGGCGATTAGCCAAGGGAAGGATGTTAAAGAAAAAGCCATTCTGGACCTGTAAGAGAATCAAAAGGACGAGGTTCAGAGGAACAGCGAGGGGATCCCAGTAGACCCCTAAGCTCCAGGAGGTGTTACTTCTCCTTTAGGGGGCTGTCATGGGTGTCATGGACATGTCATTGGCCCCTTCGGCTCCTTGGCTGCATCTGTGACTATTCTCCGTGAGACTCGGGATCGCTATGTGGACTTCCCTTCCTGGGCTTCCAATCCCTACCAGCCGCCTCTGCATCTGCATTCTTAGACCGTCGAGTTTATAAGCCTGAACTCCCACTGCCAGGAAGAACCGTGCACCTCTGTCTCAGGATGTGGGCCATGGTCATAAATATCCACTGTGATGTGGATATGCTAATGAGCCCCACGTTTGCGCCTCCTTACTCTAGGGAACAAAGGAACCTCATCCAACACATCAAAACGGGCCTCTGGGCGATCGTTCACCCAGTTATTCTTTTATGAGATCATTATCACTGACAGCCACGGGATTAATAAAAATGGAGGGTAATAAAAGAAATCACAGAGGAAGCTAATCCTTATACCTTGTAATAAAAGGGAAGTAGGTTTCATTTGTGAGGACAAATTCCCCTCGCCTCACAAGCTGGGAAAGCAAGCCCGGGAGAAAGGGTGCATGAGGGGACACCCAAGGGCCCAGGAGCTGCCTCTCAGGGGTGTTCTCTGCCCTGCACAAGCCAGACAGCCCTCCTTGAACTGAACGTGGGAGCTGAGCGAGGAGGAGGTCTTCTGGTTTAGCTTATGCCTAAACCTCCTCACACAGCCTGGAGGAAGGGATGGCCACACTGCCACCACCTTGTCTCTCCTCGGTCCCTGGGAGCATAGCCACAGCCTGGAAGTGTCCCAGTCATAGCCCTGTGGGGGGCTGGTGGGGATCCTGAGGCTGGTCCTCGATGCATTTCACCCCCCCCCCAGGAGACCCCGTCTCCCCAAGCCTTTCCAAATGCCCCCTTTGTGTGTTATTCCCCCCAGGCCTGCACACATGTGATGCCAGGGCAGGACAGAGGGCAGAAGGTAAAGTTTCAATGAGATGGAAGGAATAGGAGAAAAAGGACATTCAAGAGACAGGAACAGCAAACCCCTGAGGTGAGCTCGGTGCCCACCCGGGCACAGTCTTAACCAACTGGGTGTGAGGCTTGCAGAGAAGCTGTAAGAAAGAGCACCTGGTACAGCTTCAGGCTCTCAAACTTCAGGGAAAGTGGACCATAAAACAGACAGGAAGGAAACGAGAAAAAAGAAAATTACAGTTCTCGTGTCTTCTACAAACAGTAACTCCATCCTACCCTGATTTTCCTAGAGATGTGATGTGTGAAAGACTGCTTTAAGCTCCCACTGGGAGAGTCCAGCACTCATCCAGGCATGGAAAGGGAAGTGGACATCAGGCTGCAGCCTGGGGGAGCCAAGTTCAAAGAGCACGAGAGGCAACTCGGCTCTAGTTGTATACAGGCCGTGTTGTGTAGCCCCGACCTGGCACAGTGCACGTGTGAAGGGTGAAGGCGGCCAGATGCTCTCTGCACATGACCAGCTCTGAGGGAAGGAGGGACAGTGTCCAGAGAAGGTCTGGAAGGGCAGGACCTGAGATGCAGCTAGCCTGAGTGGGCAGAGGGGCAGACTCAGGGACACTCAGGGAGTGAGAGTGACCCCGGGTGGAGCTCCAAGGGCTGCAGAAGTATAAGGCAGGTGGACACCATGCGTCTTCCACACAGTGACTCATCAGGGAGGCCTGCAGGGGATCACTGGGCAGACAGCCTGCAACCCTCCTCTGCATATTCAAGTGTTAAGAACTTTCCTCTGATTATCCAGAGAACTAGCATGTCCTGGGGAAGTCACCCTGACTTTTCAGGGAACATGCTGGAAATCTCCCCTTGTAGCTCCTATGAGGACACACGGAGAAGGATGCAGAAACCATGAAACAGAGATGATTCCAGAACAAGAGTCCCAGCCAGGCCCAGCTGTCAGGTCAGGGGCAAAGAGTCCCTGAGAAGCCAGGCTCTGATCGCACAGCCTCGTCCCCTTTCCAGTGCTGAGCTTTGCCACTCGGGGTCCAGACCCCTGTGCCCTGGTGGAGACTGGGTGTGCTTGGTGCTTGGTGCCAGCGCCTCCCAGCAGCATGCAGAAGGGGCTTGGGGCAACCTAAATGCCCCAGTTTCCCAAGAGGCGCCTGACTCCTGCATCCGGTGAGGGGTTAGCTGGAGCCAACTGGCCGCCTGTCGGCCCACAATCCAAACACCAGCCAAGGCCCCTTGGCCAGTCATAAACCCAGCAGCTGCAAAAACAGGCCAGAGAGCCTAGAGATACAGCCCTGCCTAGGTAATGATTAACAAGTAGCGAGGGAGTCCTGGAGGTCACAGTGATAATGGCAAAGTTCCCCTGAATCTATCTCAAGTGCAGAAGATCTGCGGGTGGGGGTGGAGGGACCCTGGCGTTGACTCCAGACAAATGCTTCCTGCCCCTTTGGGTGGGTGCAGATAGCCTGGGCCTTGCTCACTTTCCTCACGGGAACAGGGACCCCATAGCAAAGTCAGAGATGAGGACCCAGTGGGGGTGTCTTCTAGGGAGGTGGCATTTCCCCAAACCTGATATTAATTAGCCTTTCCAAAAGAAGGAGATCTGATGCTCATCTTTACTGCCCTGCACATCCTCGGACACAGAGTCCTGCTCTGTACCAGGGAGGTTTTAGCTCTCTGGTTGTCTTCAGGTCTTTTGCAGCTTGTGGTGCAACTCTCCAACTTTCTTCTGCAATTCCAAACACCAAATGTAGGACGCATGCATTGTACACACAGCTTACACACAGGAAGGTGGTTGGACCCCTGCTTTCTGCCTCTTGCGTCGCTTGGTACACGGTTAAAGAGAATCTTCTCACAAGGATGGCAGGGCCATCCCGGAGGATAAATTAATAATGACTTATTAATTTAGCAAAGATTATTAGATGAGAGGTTCCTAGCATCCTGGATAGCACATGGCCCCTGGGGGCCTGGAGCTTCCCACCCATGCGTAAAGGGGAAAGGGCAAGGAGCGATTTCCCCGGGGCCAGTGGTTGTCAAGGGTCTAGGTGGTGGCAGGAGCTGCCACCTCATCCCCAGCCACTTTGCCTGCTTCTCCTCTCCTGCTTCTCCCTGTTCACCAACAACATTCCAGCTCACATTTCAGCCGTCACTCGATCATCCTTGACCTTGTCCCTAACTAACAGTAACGTTTCTGCGTCCCACTGAGGCTGGGAGCTCCTCCAGCACTGTCCAAGTTCTTCCCACAGGAAAGGAGCTATGGATGTTTCCTTGGAAGAAACCGGTTCTAGTTCCTACCACACACCCATCCCCTGTGACTCAAATCTGTCACAGGACATTACCAAATATTGACATCCTGTCCTGGGTGTGCGAGAAGCAGTTCGGAGGCCAGACAAGTACCCAGGTTAGGAATCTTCTCATTCCGGGAGGCTGATCTCTGAGCAATGCATTTCCATCCTTTTTAAATATTTTATTAAGTTTTAAAATTTAGCTTCTCAGTACATGTGGGTACTAAGAGACCTAACGTTTATAGTTCTTGTGCGGAGCTGCTGTGTGGACAGACAGTCTTAATTCCTTCTTCCTGTTCCTTCTCTCTCTTCCCTCCTTCCTCTGCCCAGCCCAGATCCCCGTCCTATTTTTCTGTATGTGTTTGCAATTTGTGATGGTCACACGTCCGGTGTGGAGTTGGTGCGTGCACAGAACACGTCTCAGCTCCTTTGTCTTCCTTTCCTCCTGCTCCCTCTATCTCTTGAACCACTTCCCCCTTGAGAATGGTCTGTCTTCTACTCCTTATTTTCTGTCTTTGATTTTGCTCTGTTTGTTTACTCCGGGTTTCCCACATAAGAGAAATGAGGCGAGATTTAAACCTGTGCATCTGGCTTAACTCATGTAACATTCTGGTCTCATGCTGTGTCCATTTCCCTACAAATGAATCAAGTGTATCTTTCTTTATGGCACAGTGACATATTCTCTTGCTGTCTAATTCACCAGCTTACTTTGTTAAGGAACCACTTCCAGCAACCCACTTCTAGTGTCTATGAAGCCAGGGAGTTTTGATGTTTTTGAGGCCTCCATATGCATATGTATTGATGCACAGTACAGGTACATGTTTAGAGGGTATGGTGTATCCTCTCAGTAGATGCACACAATGTATAGTGATCAGGATGATGAGCTGTCCTTCCCTTCAGATGTATATCATTTTATCTACTAGCTATTTTAAAATATTCAATTAATTGTTGAACATTGATCTATTTTTGAATACATTATGTCTTTAAAACATCTGCATTATGTGCCCCTGATGGAAACAACACCATTACAGAACTTATCAAGTATTCTAGAAAAGAAAAGAATCAAATCCAATCAAGCTTTTAGATCTAATTATTACTCTTTGGAAATTAAAGATGGTGGACCAAATGTCACATGAGATCCAGAGCTACTATTGGCAGAATCCAAAACATAGAAACTGTACATCAGCTGACACCTGTCACGGCTGAGTAATGAGTAAAGGGGTTTTGTAGTGTGGTTTTCTATGCTTTTGCTAAGAACCATGATGTAAGGGTTTAACAATACTTACCGTGTCTTGCACATACACATACAAGTACAGCAATCTAGAACAACATTCATACTCTACAACCCACTGAAAGAGAAGATGGTAAGGAAATCTGAAACAGGAAGCAAAACCTCTGCCTGGCCCTTCCCAGTATCCCTCCCACACTGTCCTTGGGCTGACCTCCAGCTGATGATCCCCCCGGAACAGGAGCCCACCTTCCCTGAGAGGCCTGAGCTAGCACAGCTCCTGGGAGTGAGGGATGTGGAGTGCTGGGCTCCTGTTGCCCTTCAACTGGCCCGTCAGTCTCTAAATGGTCCTGGTAGCCCAGCTCCAGGAAACACCAGAAATGGGTACAGTGGGAGATGCCGGCCTTTGCCCTCAGATCACCTTCCTGCACTTAAAGAGAAGTGGAGGATGTGACAAAGAGGTGACGAATAC